GCCTGAACATTTAGAGGATATATAGCTCAACCTGCTGACGTGAAGCAGGATTCTCCACCATGAACAGAATCAACAATAAATCTGGATCCAGGCTCAGAATGAGCTCCTTGATATGTGCTTGAGAATGGCTTAGTCTCCGGTTAAACCCAGGTTTAAAGCCTTGCAGGGCAGCCTAAAGCCCACTGCCAACATTAAGACAGGAAAAAGAAAGAAAATAACAAACCATCAGTTCAGGGGTTTGAGAAAATATGGGAATCAGGAAATGATCTATAAACCAAACTGAAAGATTGTTGTTCTCTACTTCAAAAACAATTTAGATTTTAAAAGGGAAAAAAAATTCTATTTTTTTAAATATTTTTTTATGTAAAAATTAAATGTATAACATGGAGGCATAAAAACCTGATTTTATTTCAGTGTTAAATTCTGTTTAAAGTAACGGATCATAATTTAAAATGTCTGCGGATCTTTACTGGTTGATGATTTTCTTTATTTTGACCCCGATGGTTTTTAATTTGTGGTCCCTGGTCTAGAACATAAGGGCAACCTATATAGAATAGAATAGAATAGAATAGAATAGAATAGAATAGAATAGAATAGAATTTAACTTTATTGTCATTCCACTGTCACCAGTACAGAGCAACAAAATGAATTCTCTGCCTTTAGCCCCTCCCCTTGAGGAGCAGTGGGCTGCCATGGTGCGGCGCCCGGGGAGCAGTGGGGGGTTTAGGGTCTTGCTCAGGGACTCAGTGTGGCAGTCTGTGGCAGTGGGGGCTCAAACTCACAACCTCAGGATCTAATCTCTATGCCCGGACCAGTAGGCTGCCACTCCCAGCTTCCCTTATTCCATAGAATAGATAAACTAATAAAGTAGGATATATTTTGGTTGCATTAACATTTCAGTTGTAATATTTTCCTGTTCCTGCGATCAATAAAGCAGAATATTTTTCTCCTGCTTTAGCGAAGCTTTAGAGGCAGCCAATAGGAGCAGGTCGGCTCACCTTCCAGCTGGAAGGAACGGCTGCAGCCAGAGGCCAGAATCTCCTGAAAACAATCAGTGAAAGCTTACATTTTATTGGGAATTCAACAGGAAGTCAGCGAGGGATGTAGATCTCAGGCTGTAGGTCTGTAGACGCTGAAGGAGCGTCTGTCCAACTGAAAAACTGCAGACGATGTTTAAAGGAACGTTAGCTTAGGAATGAAATCCCAGGATTTGAACATCATCATTTAAACAATCTCATCTGTGAGGCACAACGGCTAAACTCCAGGACATCGTCTTCCACCCGGCTGACGGCCAGGATCTCACCGAGCAACCAGTGGTGACTTTGGAGCAGCTGCAGAGATGCACAGCTCTGGTGGGAGGAATCCGATCGGACCCAGAAAACACTGATAGAGTCTCCAACGGTCCTCAGATCTTAGGAAAATCAGTGTCTAGGACTGAACTTAATGCTTTTCTACATAAATTCATTAGACTTTAGATCTTTTCATTTAGAATATGGAGGTTTTTATTCTTCCAGTGAAGTAAGGTTTGTCTTCTAGGCTTGTAGATAACATCTAGAACGTTTCTCTACCTGCCAGAAAAACAAGCAAAGTCTTCAGGTTCAGCAAAAACAGAAATAAAGGGACTGGGAATCTAGACGTGGTGCATCAGTCCAGGATCATCCTAAACTTAAACCTCTGCTTAAGATCTGAGACTAAAGCCTAACCCAGAGCTCCAGGACTCTGAGGTAAAGAAAATGCTAGAAGGGTCTCGTTAAAGTCCAGCTTTTTAATCAAACTCTGTGGGTTCAATTTATGGCTGGAATGTGAAAAAGTTTAAGGCTGGATTATTTTTCTAATCCATGCTCTCATAGTCTGAATTATTCTGTCATCCTATTGGCTAATTGATTTTTTTTTTATGTGGGGTCAGAGGTCAAATTCAGGATTAATGAGGAGCAGGAGCGCTTTTAGCTAAATCTGTTGGATTGAGTGAGAGGAGAGTGAAGTCGTCTGCAGAATGAAACCTTCCTCTGGTCCTGCAGGTAGATTTGCTCACGCTGGGGGGGGGTTTATTTTCTGCTCCTTCTAGGTGGAGAGTCAGCTGCGCACCTCCAACCGGAGGCTGGAGGCGCTGCACGCTCAGCTGCAGGAGCTGGACGCTCACATCGTGGTGAAGGGAGGCGAGGAGAGTAAAGGTTCAGGTACCGCTGCTTATTATCTCGCATTTTAACATCTTTAAGGTTCAAATTAACTTTTCAAGATTCAAATTCCAGATTTGCTTTCAGAGGAAAGCAGAACATTTTAATTTTGTTTTCAAGTACGTCCGGATGGGGCGGGGGTTGGGCTACTATCGCCGCTGCTCTAACCCGGTTAAATATAACCAGGGCAACCAGTCCCACAGCATCATAGACCCTCCGCTTTACTTCACACTGGGCATGAAGTGCTCCTTGGTTTCAAAGCTACGACGGAGGATTAGGGCCAGTTTAGACTTTTTAAAATGTTTTATCTTGAGAATAAAGTCATGATACAACAACCTGTTTCAGACAGAAAGCTTGGAAACCAAGTCCAGTGGATATTTTTTGAATTTTTACAGAATGACTATGACCTGGATGACTGAGAACCTTAATCAGCAAAATACAACTTGTTTCTTGAAATTTTATGACTTTATTTTCATAATTTAATGACTTTATTTTCCAAATAGAAGAAAAATCCGCCTGCCCCTAATACTCCGTGGAACAAAGCAAACCCAGGATGAGAGCAAACTAAAGCCTGAAGACTTTAGGAAAGTCCACATGTTTCTATCTGTGCTGGTTGGAGACAAACGTCCAATAAAGTCTCTAACTAGTTCCTTTAGACTCTGAAAGTAAAGCTTGGATGTTTCTAGACTTAGAAGTTCCTACAGGCTGCAAAGCTGCAAGCAAAGCATCTTTGATTCTCAGAGTTTTCTTCGTTTAAATAATAGAAATGATAAAAAGAAGCGTTTCTGTTTCCCATAAGCAGCGACTCTGACCTCCAGAGGAAACCTTTTCTGTTTAGATGCACTGAATTTTTGTTCCTTTGTTCTTTTTTAATATTAAATGTATTTTCATTGAAAACCTGATTTGATCCGATCCGCTGCAGCAGCGGATCATTTTACGATGTTAAAAGCTGCTGTTGTTCCTGAAGTGGAATATTATTAGATGCTGCATGAAATTCCCAGTGGAGTCGTTTTCCTTTAGTCCACACCGTGTGAACCTCCATCCTGCTGCTTTTTATATCCTGTCCAACCTTCCCGTCTTTCCACAGATGAGTGTCCTCGGTCTCCAGGGGCCGAGAGCCGAACTTCAGCCCACAAGGAGCGCATCGCCGCCCTGGAGAGGCAGCTCAACATCGAGCTGAAGGTCAAACAGGGGGTGGAGAACATGATCCCCATCTATGCCAATGGATCCACCAAGGTAGAGGAGTCCCCCCCCCCCGCACTCTGGAGGACAGAGGACGTCCCGGCCGTCCCCTCCAGGCTGAGCTCCGTACAGAGGAGGGTTAGGGCCACTGAAAAAACTAAAACATCTCTTCCTTCATGGTGTCCATCTACATAGAGATTCAGAATCAGAATTCTGAAATAATATTTAAAAATGAGTCGTTTTTTATTTTTCAGTGTCCCTGATCCTCTTCCGTAGCTCCAACAGTCTGCTGACTGACAGAAACCGTCTCAGCCTCTGACCTGTTTCTGTTCCACAGGATAAGAAGATGCTGCAGACGGCCCAGCAGATGCTGCAGGACAGCAAGACCAAAATCGACATCATCCGAATGCAGATCCGGAAAGCTGTGCAGGCGACGGCGCAAACGGAGGACACGCAGGGTGGGTCTGAAACGCCACTCCTAGTTCTGCTTTCCATCAGTGGGATTAAACATCAAACCCACTCACAACGCCATGGTAGACCCACGCTGGCTCTGTGGCTTTGACTCTTCAGCAATTCCTCACACTGCAGTATGCGGTGACAGTGGAGAGGAAAAGCTCCCTGTTAACAGGAAGAAGCCTCCAGCAGAACCAGGCTCCGTGTGAGCGGCCATCTGCTCAGGACGGCGGATGTGACGTCATGAGCGTCCATGTTGAAGGATCAAACCTAGCAAACGTTTAAGATGCGTTTTCTGGCTAATCTGAAGCAACAAAAAACATCTTGTTAAGTCTGAGCGAGAGCTGAAAGAAAGAGCAGGAGAGAGCTGCAGTTCTGAGTGTTGGCCACCGGGGGCAGTAAACTCTGTAAAATAAGACCCAGCAGCAGAGATTGCTGATTATTCCAACGTTTGTTTTCATTTTTTAAATCTGGATTTCTTTTCAAACTCGTTATGATGCAACGCCTCCGAACTGGACCAGTGTGTGATAGCATTAGCTGCTAACGGTTAGCATCATTCATTTCACAGCGTGACCTTTAACCCTTTATGGGGCGTCGGTGAAAATCTACATTTCAAGCCGATAGTTTTCTTGGAATCCAGGAAAAAAACCTTAATACTTTTATAACATTCAGAAAATCTGGATATTTGATGGTAAAAAATTTATGTAATAACAAGAAACGGCAACTTACTGGAATATATTAATACAAATAACAAAACTGCTTCTATAAGAAATTGATGAAAAAACCTCTGAGAGCAAAAGAAACAAATTTTATTTGGTCCAAAATAACCTTAGAGGCATCAATGATGATACTGACAGGTTTTAGTTTATAAATCTAAATATAATTGTTAACTTTTTAACTTTTTTCTTGACTTGTTAACTTTTTCAACATAGTTTCCAGTTGGTAATCTATGTGCAGCCATGTAGCAGGATCTATGCTGAATGGATGGATGTAGATCTAGTGCTTCTAGACCTCACTGAGGGACGGGGGGGGGCTCCATTTGTACGGGGATGCAATGAATCAAAAACGCTAACTTGTCCTATAAAGGGTTAACTGAAGGTCACCTGACANGCTCCATTTGTACGGGGATGCAATGAATCAAAAACGCTAACTTGTCCTATAAAGGGTTAACTGAAGGTCACCTGACATTGGAAATAAGTTCAGTCATTTTAACGATGAATCTATTGTGCAAAAATCAATCAATCAATCAATCAATCAATCAATCAATCAATCAATCAATTAATCAATCAATCAATTAATCAATCAATCCGGTTCAGGAGGAAAACCTCAGATGTTCTGAGTTCCTTCCTGTCAGCCGGTAGAGGAAGGATGTTCAGTCTGGTTCCTGTTAGTCCTCTGCAGCAGAAACGGGTCCATGAATCGGGCCGCCGCTCCGTGTCCTCAGCGCTCAGCCTGAAGCTCCGCCTCCCCTCTGATGTTGATCTGTGGCTCATTAATAAGGACCCCGCCTGTTTACAGCAACATGCAGACATCCGTGATTCTGCTCGCCACCAACGCCTCCACCAACGCGCCCGCCCTCTGCCAGGGTCAGGCCAGACGGAGCCGTTCAGAGCGATAAACTCTGCTGGAAATATGAGGAGCCGGGGGGGGGGGCAGAAAAGGAGCAAAGCCTGGATTTTAGGGACAGTATCCCCCTTTGGGGGGATTTTGGCCAGAGGGAGGGTTTTGGCCAGAGGGAGGGTTCCTTTCAGGCATCAGGACAGACGACTGCGTGGCCTTTTAGGGGCATGCTTTGTTCATCCATGTCCCTCCTGTGGGAAACCTGAATGAAGACTTTCCTGCATCATGACAGGAACACTGGAGCAAAGCGTCTTCCTTCAGGACTGATGTCTAAAACTCCACCAGCAGTCTGATTAATCAGTGCTGCGCCCAAAAAAATAAAATAAAAAAGGAAAATAAAGTTTTCCACTTGTTGCTGCAGTCAATCTTTACAGTTTTATACTGGATGAACTCAGTGAGACGTTCTCTGCTCTGAACACAGATTGATTTAAACTAAATCTAACCTGAACGTAAACACAGACTCTGGCTTTTAGAAGTCCTGTTTAGAGTTGATCTCATGTGTAGGGGAGGGATTATTTTATGATTGTGAGCTGATCTATCTCTATAGTTCTGCTGCTATAGGCTTAGACTGCTGGAGGACATAGGGAC